TCTACCCTTGTTTACCCATGTTCTACCACGTTCACCCTCATCTACCCTATTTAACCCATGTTCTACCACGTTTACCCCCATCTACCCTTGTTTAGCCATGTTCTACCACGTTCACCCTCATCTACCCTAGTTAACACATGTTCTACCACGTTCACCCCCATCTACCCTTGTTCAGTCATGTTCTACCACGTTCACCCTTATCTACCCTAGTTAACCCATGTTCTACCACGTTAACCCTTTCTTTTATTTTTTAATGCACACACATTCATATACAATTTACATTGCATTGGCTAATACAAAAACGTGATACAACTAAGAAGAAAAAAAAACAATACAGTACAATACAGAATAGAGGAATAAAAGAAAGGAAAAAAACAAGTAAAAAGAATAAAAAATTACAGAATATCAATCAAAAGGCACCTACGAGTTACTTACAATCTACTTTATTACAGTAGAGCTTACGTATAGCTATAGATATATCGCTTCGAGTCCTTACCTCTATTTTAAAGTATTGATTTTTCGAAGGGGAGAAGCAAAATTAGTGAAGAGCACATTTTGCTATTTGCCATTGCGTCAACATTTTATTTTGTAATTCTTTCGAAATCGGGTTTTTTTCAAGACACTTAGAACTGTGGACATACTGTTTCAAAAGAATAACAATGATGTGTAGTCTGCGTCTTGGGTATTCTGATAATTGATGAAAGTCGGGTATTTCATTAAAGGTAATTTGCTAGTTACAAAGTTCAGTTTCAGTCTCGTTTACGCGGTTAAACCACCTTAACGCTTCATAATAAAAAGATTTTGTCTCGGAGCAATCCAGAAAAGTATGCTCTTTTGAATCTAAATTAGGGCAAAAGGCACAAGTTGAATCATCAGTTAATCGAAATTTGTGCAGTTCTGTTTTGGTTACTATAATTCTATGCAATCATCTAAATGAAAACTGTCTTAACTTGTTGTCTCTCGTTGATTGATATACAAAAGAAAATTTGTTTTTCCATTCTTTATGAGTATCGGCCAAATTGACTTTCCAAGTTTTGATGCATGCCAGTTGGTTCTACAGTGGGGCTTTTGTTAAGTATTTTATAGTAGTGTTTGCAGCGCATGCGTGCCAAATCTACGAGATTGCTTCTAGGAAACAAAGATATCGTAGTAGTGTTCTGTAGCTCGTGTAAGGGAGCTTCACATTCTCTGGCTTTTTTCTTCAAGTCAGTTGGAATAGCTGCTTTGAGTTGGGAGTAGTGGAGATAATTTGTTTTTATGTTGAACTTATTTTGAAATTGTTGGAATTAAAGAAAGTTTCCATCCGCATTCAAGATCATCTTGTATAGAGAGGATGTTCTTCTTAAACCAAGATTTCCAAAAAAGCGTATTTTTATCAATAGTTATTTCCTCGTTATTCCATAGCAGAAATTTGCCATACGAAAATATTTTCGTCTTATCTTTAAACACGAAGGCGCGCTATGAAAGGAGCCTTAGGTCCCACTGGACCATTTGTCAATCAACCGTTGTGTGATGTAGAACTCTTAGAGTCAAGTCAGCTTGAGCTACAGCTACTCCAAAGCAGTGAACAGCGGGCGCATTCCTTAAAACTGTTTTATGTCTTCATCACAATACAAGACTTTTTGAGATTTGTATTTCCTTTCTCCAATGGAAACTGTCTTTATTTATGGCGGTAAAATTTGAGATCGAAGTAGGTGGTTCGAACGTTACCTCATGCCACCATGCTGGTGGAAGCAAACAATAGATATCTCATTAGCTCCTTTTGTTCCTCTACCAGCATTTGAATTTGACCCGCACACGTCAACGGTGAGTGACAAATGAGCCTCGGTCTTCCCAGGGAAGACTTCTTTATATAGCACGCCTTCGTGTTTAAACTCTTGAAAATATTGTAAAAGCTCCCGATAGAAAGTAGGTAAACCATTATTTATGGAGGCGGCATTATAGTTGCATGTAAGAAGGAATTTTCATCCTCCATAAGTATTGAAATAATAATTTGGAATTACTTTCCACGAGTCGGTGCTGCTGCTTAATAACCGACTTATCCACGCTAGGCGCAACGATTTTACTACTACAGAAAGGTTTACGGAATCGAGACGACCTTCCATAAGAGGTTGGTACATGACCGTTGTTCTTATTTTGTCTTTTTTGTTTTTCCACAAGAATGAAAAGAGCTCTGTTTGAACATTTCTTACTATTAAAGGTGGAGCAGTCAGCGTGGATGCTCCATAGACTAACTGAGATACTCCTAACGTTTTAGCTAATAATGATCTTCCGTATAGCGTCAAATCCCTGGAAAGCCATAGATTTAATTTGATTTTCACCTTTGCTTCACCCTTATCTACCATAGTTAACCCATGTTCTACCACGTTTACCCCCATCTATCCTTGTTTAGCCATGTTCTACCACATTCACCCTCATCTATCCTAATTAATCCATGTTCTACCATGTTTACCCCCATCTACCCTTGTTTAGCAATGTTCTACCACGTTCACCCTCATCTACCCTAGTTAACCCATGTTCTACCACGTTCCGCCTCATCTACCCTAGTCAGCCCATGTTTTAGCACGTTTACCCCCATCTACCTTTCTTTAGCCATATTCTACCACCTTCACCCCCATCTACCCTTTTTCCGCCATGTTCTACCACGTTCACCCTCATCTACCCTAGTTAACCGATGTTCTTCCACATTCACCCTCATCTACCCTAGTTAACCCACATTCCACCACGTTTACCCCCCATCTACCCTTGTTTAGCCATGTTCTACCACGTTCACCCTCATCTACCCTAGTTAACCCATGTTCTACCACGTTTACCCCCATCTACCCTTGTTTAGCCATGTTCTACCGCATTCACCCTCATCTACCCTACTTAACCCATATTCTACCACGTTCCCCCTCATCTACCCTAGTTAACCCATGCTCCACCACGTTTACCCCCATCTACCTTTGCTTAGCAATGTTCTACCACGTTCACCCTCATCTACCCTAGTTTAGCCATTTTCTACCACATTTACCCCCATCTACCCGTTTTCAGCCATGTTCTACCACGTTAACGCTTATCTACCTTAGATAACCCATGTTCTACCACCTTTACCTCCATTTACCCCTGTTTAGCCATGTTCTACCACGTTCAGCCTCATCTACCCTAATTTACCCATGTTCTACCACGTTTACCCCCATCTACCCTTGTTTAGCCATGTTATACCATGTTCACCCTCATGTACCCTAGTTTAACCATGTTCTACCACATTTACCCCCATCTACCCGTTTTCAGCCATGTTCTACCACGTTCACCCTCATCTACCCTAGGTAACCCAGGTTCTACCACCTTTACCTCCATTTACCCTTGTTTAGCCATGTTCTACCACGTTCACCCTCATCTACTCTAGTTTACCCATGTTCTACCAAGTTTACCCCCATCTACCCTTGTTTAGCCATGTTCTACCACGTTCACCCTCATCTACCCTAGTTTACCCATGCTCTACCACGTTTTCTTCCATCTACCCTTGTTTTGCCATGGTCTACCACGTTCACCCTCATCTTCCCTAGTAAACCCATGTTCTACCACGTTCACCCTCATCTACACTAGTTAACCCGTGTTCTACCACGTTTACCCCCATCTACCATTGTTCAGCCATTCTCTACAACCTTCACCCACATCTACCCTAATTTAGCCATGTTCTACCACGTTCACCCTTATCTACACTAGTTAACACATGTTCTACCACGTTCTCCCTCATCTACCCTAGTTAACCCATGTTATGTCACGTTTACCCCCATCTACCCTTGTTCAGCCATGTTCTACCACGTTTACCCTCATCTATCCTAGTTAACCTATGTTCTACCACGTTTACCTGCATCTGCCCTTGTTAAGCCATGTTCTACGACGTTCACCCTCATCTACCCTAGTTAACCCATTTTCTACCACGTTTACACCCATCTATCCTTGTTCAGCCATGTTCTACCACGTTCACCCTCATCTACCCTAGTTAAGCCATGTTCTATCACGTTCACCCTCACCTAGATGGATGAGAATTCCATTCGAAACACTAGATCCTCTCCTACAGGTCTAAAACGTACAGAGACAGGTATTAACTTTTAGAAAATGCCATGACCGATGGAAGGGCAAGTGTGGCAGTTGTCACTGCATTCATGAGGCAGAAGTTGTCCACAGCCACTGATGGCGACATTGACCATTTTACGGATCGTCTGGTAGAGATGGCAGACGATCAAGAGTTAGTCATAGATCAGAGGGCCTTGGTGTCCTACTCCCTCCTGGTTTTTGTATGCAAAACGGTGAGTTTACTAATGTAAAACTGGGGAACAAAGAAAGTTGATAAATGTTTGTTCGTCATGGAGATTCATAGTATGCCCCACAGCCGCACTAGGATGGGATACATCGGTTCTATATCCCGACATTTCAGTTATCATATTTACTGATTAGGTTAATCCATTTAAAACAGGTCGAAGCTAATAAGTGCATGAATAGGAGGTTAAAGCCTTAAGCTTAGTAAATAGAAATAACCGAAAATTACAGGTCAAAACAAAATCTTGCATTAATCCTGTTTAAATCGTGACTTTTATTTAATTATGTCTCACGTAATATATGTTGTTTATTAAATTTAATGCAGATTCTTGAGAAGGTAGGCTTGCCAGAACTGTTCATCCTCGTAGAGGAAAAAATTGAAAAAGTTGTGCTGCCAAGTTATATGGAAGCATCCTATGTCACTGCCACATCTGTTCAGTTGCCAAAGCAAGTTTGCAATGACATCGACAAAGTGTTGAAGAGCTTCTTCGGATCAATTACTGTTTCTAACGTTCAAAACGTAAGTATTGCTTATTATAATAATCATCATCTTTATGGAGGAAACTTTTTCATAACAGATATGGTTTTCAAAAAGGACCTCGAAACTAGATATATATAGTAGAAACAAAAAAGCAATAGAATTGCAAAGGGATTAAAAAGATACAAACAATGTAAAAAAAATTAAAAATTAATAATATATTTAAAATAAGTATAAATAAAAATTAGACGTAAGTAGCTATATTAAAAACTTAAAAACATTACGTCTAAAACTATTGACATTCTTTGAGTCTTTGATCGTCTGACTGAGAGATTTAAAATCGGAAACGGCATGATATTGTGATCTTTGCTTCCACCAGTTTCTTTTGACAAGTGGTAAACTAAAATTGCCTTTGTTACGTGTATTATGCCTATGAAGTATGTCTTGTCTAATCAAGTCCATGTTGTGACTGATTAGCCCATTGATGCATTTGTATACGTTATATTCTTCTTATTATTACTTTTTGGATATTATAAAATTTGACCTTCCATAATTATCATTTGGCTTGATCATGTTGTTGCTGATCAGTAATTCATTTTCATTCAATGTTGTTGTCTACTGAGTACCTGGCTCCGCTGCTCCCTATGATTATTCCAGATGGCCAATACTCAATTTATTTTCAATAATGTTTTTTAACTTGACAAATACAAGAGTAGAAGTAATGATTGTTGTTGTTGTTGTTGTTGATAGGGATGAAGATACTGAATGTTAATGCAGGTGGAGATGGCCAAGATCTTTCTTAATTGGATATTGCGTTTAATTAGAACCTATCATGTGAAACGAGAATGGCAACATCGTTACTACCGGCTGAGGGGAGTTAAAGTTCACCACTAAATGTTATCCGATTGGTACTGGTTTAAATTGATAACAAGACGCGATAGTGTTAATCCGTGGATAGACACTATCGGCCCGTAGAACCCGTCCGCGGAGAATCAGTGAAAAAATTTGAATGCTTTGACGGGCGCAAATTTAAGCAGATCGGTAAAACAATGACTTTTCAATTCTGACAGGTATAACGTATTATTTAGCCAATGTACAGTTGCGAATTAATGACATTTGCGACAGGCTGTACGCATGAATACATATTTGATTGATCTGCATTTAGTGGGTTTTGGCTGTTTTTCAACTAGCGCGAGGAAGAAAATTTAGTGGTGAACAATAAAGACAATAGAGTGTTTATCGGTCTGATAGTTGCCCCTTGGAATTTTGATGTTCTTTAAAATAGCATATTTGCCCTCGGATAGTGACTTTTGAACGTATTTGTGTGACCTAAATAGAAAGACATTGTTATTGAAGGGTGAAAATGGTCCATTTCGCATTTACTTAAATACCTAAATTCCAAGGCAAAAGTCCTCGGTCAAATAATGATTTGAAATGGTTAAATGTATTTTTGTGACATGAAAGGCGTCACGTTTTCTCGCCGCAGGGTGAAAATAGTTGATTTCAATAAATAGTAACTCTTCTTATCTTACTGCTTTGCAAAATTAATAAAAATCCTTCTCATTGATTGAAGATTACTCCAAATCCTCGTGAAAGTCACCTTTAACTTATTAGAAAATATATCTGCATTATTCTTTTAATTTCGAACTATTTAAAAATTTTTACCAGAACATACAGTACCGCGTGAGAAATGATCGATCTGGTTTAAAGTTCTAATTGATGGCGAAATGTCCTCTGTAGAAAAGAAAAAAAGATTTGGCCGGCTTATAATAGGGACCCGTAGTTAAATAGTTTTGTTGTGTTAGGTCATACTTTTAGGTGATTGGATTTTCCTAACAGATATAACTCCAAGACTTCTTCCATTGACTTCAGTTAGAAGCAGTAACTTAAATAATAAAAAGTTGTATTACTTTACTTTGTAACTTTACTTAGTCGTGATACCAGGGCGTTTCTCTCTTGGGTAAACAAATTGCATAAATGCTCGAAGTGGAAGTTTTGTTATCGTTAAGAACCCCATCACCATTGTCGAGGTTTCTTATCTAAACTTTTGCGAAATGCACTTTACTGAGGCATCTTTTCCCCTGAAAAAAAATCCATCAATGCTTTTGTAAGTGCGTAATCAATGGAATTTCTAGTCCCTTATAATATCCATCAAAATCTAAAACTTATTAAACTCAAGGCAAATTTTTACTTCAAGAACTTTTTACAAGAGAAAATGATAAACGAGCGATGTTACGCTGAAGAGAAAGAAGCAATGGAGATGTACAGGGTGAAAAAGATAGCATTAAGTCTATGGGAACAACATGAATAAAGTACAGCTTTAGAAGGGTTGCTCGTGGCTTTTATCTTCTCTTCCATTCAGAGGAAAATGATAGAAAATGTAAAGGGATTTTCAATCTACTTTGGAAGCGCTACTTGACGCTTCTTTTCTCAATTTTCAAAAGTCAAACAAGTTTAAGTGGTGTGAGGGGGTCATTCTTAAGGTTGTAAATGAGCCGAACGCAGGCGATATAGGCATCGTAGCGGAAAAACCAATCGAGCAGTGCACTTATTATGTTAGCCCGAATTGATACGAGGGTACACTGACTTTTTTTTTTGTTTGTGCGCCAACTTGG